CTCCTGATGACTAAGGCAGCAACAAGATTCCTGCTACATCCACCGCAGAGTCATTTTGTGGTCCTCTGAGGTGTCGTTTCTAGGTAAATGTGTCTAGCCACAATTAAAAACCTTTAATATTATCTATGTAATTGCTTGCTTGTACCCAGTGATGCTACTTAACGCTGACAAAGAAACCCTCAGACCTTCTAAACGATGTCCACTGCAATCACAAGGCTGATCTGAAATCTATTGTACGAAAAAAAAAAAATTACACCATTTTTCAGAACTGTGAATATTAACTTTTAAGGTGTTTATACCAAATACAAATATTTTGTAAACTAAAAGCAAGCTTGAAAATAGAATTATAATTTGAAAATGATAAAAAATGCACACGAAAATAAAAACTTTGTTTCCTTCCTAATGTTCTTCACAATATGTAGAAAAATCATCAGAGAGGCCCCCCGTGATTTTGGTTGGTTTTTTTTTTTTTTTTTTGCTGTGATATTTATATTTTAATTTTATTTATTTATTAGTATTTTTAAGATCTACTTGATAACAGTTTTTAAAGTAGACTACACATTTCCTGCTCCCAACATCTTTTGGATAAAATCTATTTCAGGAAGAAAAGGAGAGCTACAGCATGTGTCCTCCTCATTATAAACTGGAAGTATTGCACTGTTCAGATGGGAATTGATTTTTAAAAGTTTAGAAAAACATTTTAATTTTCTCAGATCTCTAAAATGTTCCTTATTTAATCATCACAGAACTTACCTAGCAGAACGGCTACACAGCAACAGCCTGTACGGACAGACTGACACAATGCGGTCCCTACTGTGCTACACATATTCGTCTGGAAATTAACTCTTCACTGGCTGGCAGACCTGTCATCCCAACCCGTCTAGACTGGAATTGATTTTTCCCTGCTTTTATCATTGGCCGCTTCACAACTTTTTCACTTAAACTACCATCCCAAAATGGACAGTTCAAAAAAGAGCTAAGCTGGAACTCTAATAAGATTGGGGGAAAAAAAATGAAAATCCCGTCTTCTTTGCTCTTCTTTGTAAACTGTCCTGCAACTAGTTTGTGTTTTGGGGGTAGGCTGCTTGAGTTTTTCTTTTCTGATCACGTTTAAGGTTCCATTTCCCATGCTACAGGCATGATAGTCCAAGGATGCACTCCCCAAAGTTGGGTCTGTGATGCAAAAACCGACCAAACTCTAACCATGCTATTAGAAAAATCACCTCTATATAAACTAATAAACCTCTGTAATAAAAAGGCATACATTGAATCTATTACACCGAGTCATTAAATAAAAGAGAGACATCCTCCGCCCCTTTTTAATAAAAGAAGAACACGCACAAATTTAACCAGCGATGCTGATCAAAAGATGCAATACCCTTGAAAAATGGACACTCATCTCTCAATACTAAAGGAGAGAGGGCCATATATTTCAACTTTGAAACCGCTTTGCGATTCCACATTAATCCCCTCAGCCAGAACAGCAGGTCTATGAAGAAAGGATTGATCTCCTTTAATGATGCAACCCTGGCACCGGGGTTTTATTTTTCACAACACGGTGCAGTTAAGAACCCCACTGTTATTATGAAAATTTCCTCGGCAAAGGAGCTCCATCACATTACCAGCGCGCCAATTCATCATACCGCGCCTCGCTCCTGCTCATCAACAAGTCTGAGTGATGAAAAGATCCAATATTATCCTGACAGTACTTCATGCACATTCTCAATCACACATTATTACAGCATCCATATTAATTTTCACTGACACCGTCCTAGGCCTGTTCAAATTAGGCAAACCAACGAGGGGGAGTTGATGAAATACCAGCATAGCCACAGCTCATTGCATTCCAATTTGCATGCAAATGGTTTATCAGGAAAATTCCATTCCCAGCAACCAGCAAGTGAAAAACAACCGTAATCTACACTTCAGGGCCACCATACAGAGCTTAATGAATCGCAAAGAGAGAAGGAAGTGACAGACCTATGAGAGGATCGATTTCCACTGGCAGCTGGTAAGGCTGGTCTTGTACAGCACCTTGATGAGCTGGAATTCAGGAAAGAAGATTTTAAAACTCTGCATTTTTTTCAATACGTGAAGCCACATGCATTTTATAAATACAAGCTATGTCCATTTTTTTTTGGTAACTATACAAGATTCTTCTGCATGAACTGAATTTAAAAAAAAAAAAAAAACAATCCAGGTGCTTTCGCAGGCTGCTTATTAAACATTTATTTTAGATTAGTGATATTCTGAATGTATGCCATCAGCAGCAGCTCCGGTCCTAAGCCATAAGCTCTAGCAGATGCTTTACTGGCAACCTCTCCTGTCACAACAAAACAAAATTAAGTGGTAAAGAGCACTGAAAACAAAATGTGACAACCATCTGCTGACTGTAGCAAATACTATTTTCCTCTTTACTTTTTAAAGCGCTGCTTTGAACAAGTGAAGCACAAAGGACTTTTTTTTGAAAAAAGGTCAGTTTATGATGCAGACAGGGAAATCTCACAGTCATCCAGCATTTCAGGATTTATCCATCACCAAAACCCATTTATCTGCAAGTTTGCACAGAAGTTAATATATAATTCTGCAGACCTATGTTTCATCAGAGCAACTGGCATACCAATGAAATGATTACCTCTGGAATTTTCCTGCAATGTTCAAAAGAAGCACCTTTTTTTTCCCCACATCCTCACTAAAAACAAACAAGCACCCTCTCTGCCCACCCCTGCCAAACAGCCCACGAGATATTCTTGGAAGTGGAACAAAAACTAACGGCTGCATATGTACACCTATGATTGTTCTATCTACTGTCCATAGCTTAATATAAAAATTAGTATCAACAGAAGGGTTTCATAAGGAATCGGGAAGTCAAAGTTGCGCTGCAATGAAACACAACATGGAATCCGCATGACAAAACAGGGGCACTCTGCTGGGTACCAGTGCCATCGGGTGCCAGCAAAGCCACCAAACCAGGAATGAGATTTTTAATTACCCATCAGTGCCAACTGGTCACTTGGCAACTTAACTTTTTTATCATGATGCCTCATTAGTAAAGGCAACGCTAAGCCAGAGATCTGGAGGAGCAGTGATACCAGCCCTCTACTCCCAGCAAATCCCATTTGGGATGCAATTTGAAGGCACCAATAGTGAAGGATAGTCTCAGGAGTCCCTATCCAGGTATCTTAAGCAAAGTACTCCATTACCAGCCTGCACTTCGGCCAGTGTGTTCTCAAAGAGGTGGGCTGACGTGGGGTTTGCCGGGTTTTGGTTTTGTTTGGTTGGGTTTTGTTGGACTTGAACTGTAGGTTTTCCTGAGCTCTTTGTAAAGGCAGGAGAAGTATAAAATGCCCCTAAATGCAAAAACAGTGACTCAAAAGCACAGCTTGCTGGTCTCTCTTTCAGAGGTGAGGGAAAAACCAAAATCTGAAGGTTTCGTTCGATTTACACCAGCCGATTACTACACTCAACTATTGGTTGCTTGCTCACAGATCATCAACCAGACTTCTGAGGAAATCAAAATCACCTCCTACCGCTTTAGAACCTCTTCTTTTCTCCTGACTGTTGTACGTCCACAAAGACTATTTTTTAAAAGCCTTGCATATCATATGTCCAAGGTCACACATCCAAGGTGTGAGAGGATATTGTCACCCTCCTTTCAAACAAACGTCAAGAGCCCTGGAAATAATTCTTGTTCACAACTTGTTCTCTAGACACGCCTCCCTTCCCCCCTTCCTTTCCACCCTTCTTTTTAAGCGTTTCTTGGGTGGGTGAAATAATACATAGATGTTGCCATTTGCACAATGTTGAGAGGTAATCTGTAAGAATTAGGAAGAAGGGTGGGATTCATCTGGCTTTTTTCAAACTGTAATCAAGGACCATGGGTCCAGATTTCTTAGGAGGAATTTCAGTGATGTAAGTATTACTCTGCTGCAAATATCTTCCATTAAAGTTATTTGAGTAGAAGCTCTTCTTTCCCTTTCTTGAGAAGCCTTTGAGCAGATTTACTGCACAGCACTGAAATAAACTACCCTTCAGAGCCTGGGCCCGAGACTGTCATAGTCAGTGAAAGGAGGATGAGTGCTTTTAGGATTAGAGAATATTAGAACTGAAAACTGAATGACTATATTCTCAGGACCTACACATTTTTAAAGGATAATTAATGTGACTGGTTGCTATGCAAACAGACATGTTGTTTTCCCTCCACGCTGACAAATACAACAGCACCTAATAACTCTGGGATGTTTAAGTTACAGTAGATACAGACTTCCCGTATATTTTATTTTCTAATTCTCATTGAGCAGCTTTAACATCAGAATACGGCAGTGGTTACGTATGCTTGACTCCCACTTACTTACCAGGAAGATTATGCCACCTGTTTACAGCAAAGAGCCTATTTGCAGTAACCGTGATGACGGCAGGAGTGGCCAGCCCAGGCTGGGTGTTGGCTGCTACGTGAGTGACGGGGGAGTTGGACGGGAACTTGAGAACCATGATAACGTCCTGTTGAGCTTGGTCTGTGAACATCAATGGGCTCTGCAGGAGGAGATACTGTTGAGTGCACACGACAAGAACCCAAATACACGGGAAGAGAAAACATGGGGAGGAGAAAAGACAGGACAAGAGAAGGAAGACTGGATTAAAACACACGAGCTCCAACAGCAGCTGCAGCGAAATGCAAATGCAATAATAGTGGGCAGGCTTGTGGAAACAACCATTTTAGGTAGAAAACGTTCATGTGCACAATTTATTTGCAGGTTTTGCTGAACATGGGCTATCTATATACAAACTGTGCTACAGATCGCAGCAGATTAAACACAAAGTTTCCAATCACCTATCTCTGCCAAAAGAATTCTCCTTCATATCTGCAGAGATAGCATGTCAAGGAAGGCAATGCCAAACTAGGAGGGAACAAAAAGAAAAAAAAAAGTGTTTTTTTGCTCCCAGAGATTGTCTCAAGTTGCAGTGAATTGGCAGACTGCAATTCTTCACAAGCCAGATGAGAACATGAAAGCACATTAAAATAAACAGATACACACATACACTAGATATATGTTCTGTATATATTTCTGGTGTACAAAAATAAGATTTATGAATGCAAAGCAGAAGACTTCACTGCAAATGTGTTTCAAAGGACAAACATAATTAAATGCAGTTGTAAAGAATATAAAGTGGACGTGATTACAGACACTATCCTGCATTGTTTCTAGAAATACTAAAGGGAGGGAATGAATCCAGACTCATTTTCAACGTAGTATTTTTAGGGTTTGGTTTTTTAATTTAATAAGATGAAGCTTTAATAATTTTGTAACTAAGCTCTCTAATAATAGTGCAAATGGTGAAAAAAATATTGAGGACCTTAGATCCAGAAATCAAACATAAGGAGGAAAAGCAAAACAATGAGTTTGTGATTGTGTAGTGTACCTAAAAAAGCCAACTCCAGCGAGATGTAGAAACACAACCATTCTAGTCACCAGTAGCCACATTGCTCCAGTATTTGTAATCTTTAATAACCGAATTAGAACCCTAATGAAGTGTTCTTGGCTATTTTCCACCTGCAATATTTCATTACATATATGTGTATGTAAGTGCATACATTTAATGTATATTTATACAGAACTAATAAAAAAATTAAATACATTTGCATTTTTATTATCACTCCTTTTTAAAAAGTTATTAAGAGTACTTAGAAAAACATATTGCCCTATGAATTCCTATTTACAGTCTTTGCATAAAGGTGTAAATAAAAGCAACTAATAAGCTACCCAGACACCCTTTGGAGCAAGTGGCTAAAAGCCAATCAATATTATGAGTTAATCCTCCCCGGATGCTCATTCAATTAAAGGTGTCAGTAATGCCTCATCTGATGTGGCCTCAATTAAATCCAGCTATCTGATGGTTGAAAACACAAGGGGATACAGCAACAGCAGCAAAACCAGACAAATAGGCAGCCTTCGTGTGACTGCTAATTACTACACCTGGTGTATATTATGGCTTGTGCACTTAACACAGCACGTGGTAGCTTTCCATTCGGTTGCATCCATGCATACATGCAGGCACACACACATGAAAACAGGAAAAAAACAGCAAATAATAAAAACCAGAAATAATTCAAAATTGTGACACGAAAAATATCCTTAGTGTATTTCAGCTCCAGGAATACTACTTTTAAAACCACTTAATATAGTGCTAGTATAAAATCATGGATTAATAACCACTAAACTGGTTATTAAAAACCAAGTGAAGAACTAAGGGGGGTTTCTGTGTGTACCTCAGCCCACAGGAGTCAGAAACAGTTAACTTCACAGAATTTAACTTCTTCCACTACATACTAAATCTTTACTAATTCAGCATCAGGAAAAATATTATGATCAAACCACACCAACTGCTTCCTGGTGTTAAATTTATTTCTATAACAATGGGTCTGACAAACATGTCAACAATCAACTTCTCAGTTCCTCCTCTTCCTGAAACAAATCCCTCGAAATCAGGGCAAGCGCCCAGTGCCTGGCACCACGACAGAGGGACACACAGATGGCGTGTGGCTGTATGACGAGGGCACTTGGGCTCCCCAACATTAACAGGGCTCGTGTGAAAGAGAGAGCCCCGTGGGTTGCACACACACGTCACCGCAGTGGTCTGCAGCCCTGGGACACGGCGTGGGAGGTGCAAGGGGCCAGCAGATCCCAAATCAGCACAGTCTGCTCTGTCCATCCAGCATGGGGGATCCCAGGGCAGGAGCATCTCCACAGCACAGCTGCCCAAGCGGAAAACACACTTGCTGCAGAAAGGATAGATCTCAGTTTTTTGGGTAATTTTTCTAAAACCTTCTGCACTTCAGATACGTTTTTAATCTAAAAACCTTAGTCTGTCTGAGTAGGACATATGTCTTACAGGACACAGAAGAAGAAAATGCCTTTTTCTATATTACAGTACAAAATGTCCATCTTAGCAATAGGGAATGCAACCTTTTGAAAAACTCATGAATTAGCAGAGCATTTGCTCTGCTTGTCAGAGCATCCCTTAACATCCTTAGCTCTGGATCTACGACAACACAAATGATATTTTAGACCCACAGACTGCACACAATGTGATATGGAAAGTAATCAGTGATAAAATAATAGTTTGTGTAATAAAATTATGTTAGACGCAAGTAGAGGTAAAAGAAAAAGCATGTTAATGCTCCCTGCCTGGACTTTATCACCCCAGCTTTACTGCAAAACACATTTAGTCACATTCTTTGCTATGCAAGTTTCAGCTCATGAATTCCTCGTAATCCTGGTTTTAGGGGAAAACCTATGCCTGGGGGAAAAGACAAGGAAGTTCCACCTCCTAAATCCATGCTTCCTGGGGAATCTGCCAAAGATTTAACTGAATGGTCTCCATGATGACTGGCTCTCACCTGTACAGGTATGGTCTTCACAGAATGAACTGATGAAGTGTTCTTAGCTTACACTGACAAAAAAGGTCTGTACCAGAAATCGATACAATCCTTTCAGCAATAAATAAAATAATAGTTAAGTACTGCATACGCTCCCAGTCCTACAAAATCGTAACTCATCTGCTGGTTTTAATAACACGATTCCACAGCCACATAAAAGCAAAGCAAAGTGGCCATGTTCTGTAACTTTAAGATAGCAAAAGGAAGCGAACAAAGCGGT